GGCCACAGGTCCCGTCCCCCGTCACGTGGGTCCAGGTGAGCGCCAGTGCCAGGTGCAGCCGCGCCCAGGGGCGCTCCCTGCCCCGATGCACCTGGCGGACAGGGATTGGGGCTGATTGAGCAGGTGAACTACAGGTCCCCGGCCACACCTTCAAAGTGGGTTTCTAGTGCAGTTTTTTTTTTTATTATTTATTTAGTTTTTGTCATTTTTGAAAGAACGAACGATGATCGCCTTTATACTGATAACGTCGATACTGGAGAACGCGAGCTTCCTGAGGCAGGTGAGACCCCTAAAGCGAAACTCCAGAAGGCACAGACGACCCACACGGGGTCTCAGATCCAAACCTGCTGGAGGCAGCCCCTGGTCAAGCAGGGCCTCGCCGCTCAGCGCGCTCCCGTCTCCAAGGTCGTCTTCCCACACTGCTGTAATCCGGGAAGGGAGGGCTGTGCCTTTTTTTTTTTTTTTAATGGAAAGTGTAAAACTTGTTCAAGAGTAGGTAAAAGGATAAACACTCACAAAACACCACTGGGCCTCGTGGCGTGGGAGTCCTGTTGGTGGGGATCCTGTGCAGGTGACCGCTGCTGCAGCCCCACCGGTGGTTCTGCGAACGGGCGAGGTGTCTCCTGGCACCGTGTGCAGGTAGACTGTATGCCCTGAAAAGGGCCTCAGAAGCGCTAGGACGACTACTTTTCTATGTTTCACGCACAGCCCATTGCTCTATGGACGTAAGATTGGTGCCTGCGGTTCTATCTTTCACATCCAACTCTAATTCTTTATTTCACCCGTCACACACTTCTTGCCCTGGCCTTTATACAGTTAAGATCTCTTTATAAAAGGATCCTACATGTGGTTTGAATCCTGCTCCTCATTTATCATTTGTCCCCATTGCACCTTTGGTTTGAAGGCAACATTTTGTCAGTGAAATAGAGGAGATAAGATTAATTTTATCAAAGACCAGTGGAAGAAAAACTACACATGGACAATGTGTCAGTCTCCACATCTAATCCTGATCTTGCCTGTCAAGTTTAGCCTTTGAGAAGCTGGCTAGCTCTATGCACTGGACACAGGTTTTAGTTACCTGCGCCTGTATTATTTTAATAAGCAAAACTCATGCACGTGGTGGTGGCGTCAGGGTAAGAACCGCAAAACAGGGTGTGGGTGAAACCTGTCTTGTACACGTCCTGTCACCCTCACCTCTTAGTCACCAGTTTCTGGTGTTTAATAGGAAGTTTCATGTTTCCTGCATTTACATGATCAGTTGTCTCTTTCTGGATACCAACCCCAATTGGCAGAGGATGATATTTTATTTTCTGCTAAAGTGTTCTCCATAAGCACTTAGAGAATGCTTGAAAGGAAGACCACCTTGAAGGATGCACCGTGACCATGCTCAGTGGCCACGACGTGTCCAGTGCATTCTGGGGAAGGGACTTGAAACAGCTTGGAGTTTGCAGACGTCCCGTTACTTCTCTTGCACCAGGTCTTTAAACTCCAGCTTCTTACTCTTCCCTATTCTCTCATTGGTCCATCCCGATTTTTCTGGCTTTCCTAGCCCCGTGGTGCTGATAGGAAGGCATAGTAACGATGCAGGTTGGCCCCACACCTTACTTTTGGCCTTGTTCTTGACCGTTAATGTCCCTCTGCTGCCCCATACTTCTCAGTTTGGGTTCTGTGTACTGTCTACATCTGCTCTGTGTCTCTACCGCCACACTTTCCAGGATGCCCTCAGAACATTAGAACCAAGACTCTTGGCTCTGCTACTGGTCACATTAGAAGCCTTGGTGGGGCCTTCAGGAGTCTCTGTTGTCTTTTCCCTCTATCTTCCCACCACTAGTTTTGTTATTTTTCCACTGCTTCTTTCATTGTCCCCATCGTTGTGCTTGGTGCAAGTGGACAGGATGTTGAAGAAAATAAATCTCAACCATGCCAGTCTTCCCTTCTTTCTTTGATTTTTGCAAGACGTTTTAGAACATCTAACCAGTAGTACCTGTTTCATTGAAAGCATTGCCATTAACCCAGTTACCAAGACATACACCTGGGTGTGTCCCTCCTCGGTGCCTCCTCCTCATGCTACAGCTTTCCTCGCTTGCAGACACTGGCAGCGCTGCCTCCGTGCTCTGCGGACATCACCCTTCCCTCGGCCCACAACTCCTCTCACATCCCAGGGCCCCTCTCACAGTGAGTGCTTCAGCCGTCTGCGTCCCTCCCTCCTGTGCTCCGCGCTGCCATCAGAATGATTCTAAAGTACAAAACGTGCCGCACTCGCTTCCTAGGGGGAGGCCCTGGAGTACTTACTTCCCTCAGTACTGGTTCCAAACACTGTGGTCTGGGACGTGGCTTCTCATGATACATAGTTTCAGGAGTTCCTGCTTCCGGTCTGCTTGGTCTCTCTCTCTCTAGCACAGGGTGGTGAACCTATGGCATGCGAGGAACAGGGGCACGGGGCGTGCAGGGCTCTGCTGGCGTGTGACCCGGCAGCCGAGCACTGGAAAACAGTGTGCAAAGGGGCAGTGTTGGCACTTTGTGATGATAAGTGAATTTTGGGTTGCAGTTTGGACGCTAGGTCTACAGCAGGTTCACCATCACTGGTCCAGTGGAATACATACCCTTTCTTTGAGCCAAACTTACTTTGTGGATACTTTCTTTGGGTACTAGGGACAGTTCTTTCTGGCAACCTTTCTTGGCCCACTTGAGATTATACAGAGCCTGTCCAGCTGTGTTTCCGTAACCTGCTATGCTCACCGCCACACAGAACCATTACCTTACTTACTGGAAATGTTATTTTTACTTGCCTCGTATCTCTTAGCCCTTATCATATAACAGGACATTAAATTGGAAGGTTCAGTAAGGAATCAAGAGATGGTGGATATCGGATATCAGTGTGAGCTGGGAATCAGACCACCAGAAGTTTTCAAGTGAGCTGATCAGACAAACTATAAACCCCTCACTTACATCAAGAATATGAAAATCTCAGGAATTATAGAATTTGAAAAGGGAGTGGGGGCAAAGAAATCACATTAAACTCTGCTCCTTTGCCATCCTTTGTTCCTGCTGGGAGGAGGTAGCTGAACTTTATTCCCCTTACATAACAGCAGCTCAAGTGATATCAGCTTACCAAATAAACTGGATCTAAATTTCTCTGCTTTATCACTATTCCTTTTTCCTCTTTTATTAAAATTTTGTTTCTTTCCATACATAAAGTTGGGCCCCATCCCAGCTTTCTGTTATTTCCCCTTTATAGTTCCTTTAGGAAATCCACCCACTAATTTTCTCTTCTTTCTCTTCAGCTTTCAATTTGTGTTTTACACTTCTCCTTTCTCCTCTGATGAGCTTGAACACATTTCACTTATCACCATAAAAGCAGCCACACCTTATTCCTAAGGGAGGCCTGCACAAGGGCTCCTCAGCTGAGTGTTGATCAGAACATGTCAGGAAGTAACTTACTGGAAGCCATGAGGCACCAACCGGAAGG